AAGCTATTACTTTCACATTTTTCATCACATTACATAAACAAAACATTAACCACATAAACGATGACGAGCGCTACAACAAAACCAGAGATAAATGGTGCAACAATTGTCTTCCTTTTTAAGAGCTTTATCTCCTCTTGATTTGCATTCCTATTCTTTAGAAGCCCAGGAATTATCTTCTTGGCGCGTTCACAAATTGGCGGGTCGAGCCATTCCCAATACAAGCATTTATGATTACCCTATTCAACAATGACTAACATAAGCAACTTAAATCAGAAAAATCAACACTTTAATGTCAATGAAGGAAGAAAGTGAACCTACTTTTCCACCACACGTCCATAATCTTCTTCCGGGATTCTTATCAGTCCATGATGTCACTAACTTCATCTCTTTCCCACATTTACAACAGGGCACATCGAGCCATTCGCCATACTCACAGATTCTTCTATAGGAAGTGAAAGAGTGACTACCACAAGTATTAAAAAATAAAAAAAATGTAAATATATGTTCATCAATTGCTGCTTAATACCAGAATTTTCAAAAAATTACCTGTTTTGAGCCATTCACGACCAGATTCGTCTTGCAACCTGCATAACCAAAACAGCAAAACTCATTCTCTTTTTCTTCAATTTGAGTCACACGCACAAAAGCAAACCCTACCTTTTTATCAAAGCAAATATGAACTAAATGTAGAGATGGATCTTGACCAAAATTTCGTCTATTTAACGCAAACCAGACCTCTTCAATTCGTACCTCTTCAACGCAAACCCTAGCTCTTCAATTCGTATGCTTCAATTTCCGGATTTTCAAGCTCTTTTTATCTCCAAAAATCTTATCCTCTAATCTATTCGTACGCTCATTTTCCTCTTTTTATCTCAATCATATTAACCCTATTAATACCAACCTCCTTTGACGGAAGAATAAATGGAGTGGACTCATCAGTAAGTTTTTATATATTTTGGGGTACCCCGTAGTTAGTTTTAAAAATAGAGGGTACCCGGCAGTTATTTTATCAAAATAGGGGGTACCCGAGAGCAGTTTTTTGCTTTTTCAATACCATTAAATTTAAATTGATTATTTAAAATCTGAATTGAATACAACAAGATTTTAAATGATTTTTTAAAATCCATGTTGAATACCCATAAATTTTTAAAATCTAAAAAAATCCGGTAGAATCCGAATTGAATACACCCCCTTTAGACTTTTAGAATCCAAATCACACAAATGATATTAAATTTATATTCTTAAATGTGGATAGAGAATTAACCTCAAGAAGGAAATACCAAAATAAAAAAAGTGATTACATTTAAGAAATCTAAAAAAATAGAGGAAATGTTGTTGCTTGCTAATCATTAGAGCGGTTGGAGTGTTGGGCTCTCAGCCAAATGGAGTAGGACACACTAGTAGATCGTGGATGATATTTAACAAAATACGTTGGCAGATTACTCGAACTATAATCCTATTTCTAATACTTTTATGATTGATAAGTTGTCCAATTATAAAAATTTGTTTATTTGAAAGAACGACAATCAAGTAAAATAATTCAATTCAAAATTTGGCCCACTAAAGTTTAATTGTTGGAGTTGAGAGGCTTTTAACAATTTTGACGATTCATACTTATAAAATTCATAAATATGTTTGGGGCAAAAAAAATTACATGTTGAGTTTGGTGCAATATGATGTACGTACTAGTGTATAATACTTGAATAAACCAACAGAGCCTTCGACCATCTAACAAAAAGTCTAGCTTCCTATAATCTTGTTATGGCACTTAGGTTGAGTTTGGCCCAATACCTAGTAAGTGACTTAAGATATTCATGAGATTTTATGCTTTAAATAACATGCTTATTTTATAGTATGAATATTTATTAAGAATAATCGTTGAAATAAAATGTGAAAATTAAAAAAGAACAAACTGTGTAAGAGTAAATGCAAATTTTTTTGTGGGAAGAATGTGAAAATTATCTTACTCCATATTTTTTATTGAGTAATTTTCCAAAAATGGCGTTTACACAATAAGTGTTTTGTGATTCTTTAATACATTAGAATCTTATTTGAGAACTATTTAAACAGTGAGGCTCTAGTGACACTGAAGTACGGTGACAATCCGGTCCACTATCATTTTGGAGTACTTCCAATGCTCCATTTGCAAAACTGATGGTTCATTGTTTCTACCCCTAATCACTCTTCTGAAATCCCCTACCCCAGCCCCACTCTTGCCCCCATCCCCCAAGCCCCCTCCAAATGCATGGCTATTATACATTGCATAATAGCCACACATTTGGAGGAATACTTAGGGGTGGTTGAGGTGGGACCGGAGTAGGATGCTAGGGGTAGAAATTGTCAATTTTACAAACAGAGCACAGAAAATGTTCCAAAATGACCGAATATTATCCGTTGATGCTAGATTCCAGTGTCAATAGAACTCCACCTTTAAAAATAAATTTATAATGAAATACTCCATAGTAACCAAAAATATAGAGAATCACTTGAATCCCTATATTAAAAAAAAGTTTTTTGAGAAAATAGTCTTTTCTTAAAGTTCATGTTGGGAAATCAGTGTGTTACTTTACTTGACTGTGGTGGTTACTGAGTTGAGGGAAGCTTATTCTGTTGCTCAATCCCTCCCTTTGACAGATTTGTTCGCCTTCAGCGATGTTCAGAAGATTGATAATCCTAACGCTGATCGTGAGCTCGATCGCGTTTCCGTGCAGCGGCTTCTCGCCGGAGGACCCCACCAGTCGGCAAGTTCTGGTCTTGCTCGACGACTTCGCTCTCAAATCGTCTCATTCTCTCTACTTTAAGGCGCTGCAAAATCGGGGATACAATCTCGATTTCAAGCTTGCCGATGATCCTAAGATCGCCTTGCAGAGATACGGCCAGTATCTCTACGACGCTTTGATTCTCTTTTCCCCTTCGATTGACCGTGAGTCTGCTCTCTCTCTATATATATGCATCTCTTATGATTTTAGTGTTTAAATCCGATAATTTCAATGATTCAACAAATTTCACCTAGGTACTAATGTCGCATTGCTGGAAATGGGTGAATCGTGTTAGTAATTGTTATCCTGTTTTAATTTTGCTGCAATTTATTTATTTTGGCCAGGATTTGGAGGTTCTGTTGATGTAGCAGGGATTCTGGATTTTGTTGATTCTGGTCGTGATTTAATACTGGCGGCTGATGCATCTGCGTCTGGTCTTATCCGTGAAATTGCTACTGAGTGTGGAGTTGATTTTGATGAGGTAACCACCTTCTACATTTGAAGACACGAACAAGTGCTCAATTTACACACATTTGGCAAGATATACTATTTATTAGAGTTACTAGTTTACTTTGCTGGGATTTTACTAATTTTAGGAATGGGTTCCTTTTACTTTCTTTCCATGATTTAGTTGAAACATATGGAACACTTCTTAATTATCATGTTCTCTTGTATCTCACGCTTTTTTGAATGAAACATATGGAGTACTTCTTAATTATCAAGTTCTCTTGTATCTCACGCTTTTTTAAATGGATGGCACTAGGACCCCTCAGCTTTGGTTATTGATCACACAAGGTATGCAGTTTCTGATGCAGAAGGGGGTCATACATTAATTGCAGCCACTGATTTCATTCAATCTGAGATTATCCTGGGAAGCAAGACAATTGAGGTATGCGCTATATATTATCCCGTTCACCATTTCATCAACTGTAGTATTCTATGTCTTTGTACGTGTGTTTCTTTATTGAATCGTTAGCTTCACAAATATTTTCGAACTACTATGTCTACTGCAGGCACCAATACTTTTTCACGGGATTGGTCATTCTGTTAATCCAGCTAATAGCTTGGTAAGCTCTTTCCTATCCTAGTTCAAGAATGCAGAGATTGCACATATGAACCATGAATGCGTACCACAAAGAACTATTCAGTCTTAATAGTGTCAAGCTCACCATATAGCATATTCAGGTTTTAAAGGTTTTATCAGCATCGCCAGCAGCATATTCAGCCAATCCGAAGTCAAAGTTGTCAGATCCACCTGCGCTAACTGGTTCTGCAATCTCTCTCGTTTCTGTTATTCAGGTTGGTTCCTTTTCTACTGGTATTTTCTCTTCGTAAAATGTGTGCCGCCATAATCCATTCCTTTGTGGAGATGAAGAAGGTTATACAGAGTATAATTTAAATAGGGAGTCTGAGGTCAACTGAACCTGAGAATCCATTAGATCATTGTTTAACCCCCACCACTTACCCCTCTCACTCATAGGTAACATTATCTTACATTTGGCTTTGCCTTGCAAAATGAAAATGAAGATGAAAATCTAAATTGATTTATTTACTAAATATTTCAATATATTCAGATTTCTTTAATTCTTATATAATACAAATAAATGAAAGGATTTTATACAACTATCGAAAATCAATTTATTGAGTTTGAGCCAATCTTATATTTCCCCATAAAATTTCTTCCAATTATAATCTGTACCTTCTTCCCGATTTTCTTTGCCTAGTATTATCTGTGCTCCGAACAGACCCATATAATTCTTGACAGGAGGAAATTTCATACCCAAGATTTCATTGCCATTGATATGCTACTTTGTAGAAGAGAATTATCATTTACAGCTCTTTATCACTTTAATTTTGCAGGCTAGAAATAATGCTCGAATTCTGATCTCTGGCTCTTTAAGCATGTTTAGCAATCGGTAAGTGGCTTATCAATTTGTTATATAATTTTTAACTGCCTGGACAGAGTTGTGACTTGTGAATTGACTTTGAATAACATCTCGTGCATCGGCTAACAGTTTCTTTAGATCTGGGGTTCAGAAAGCTGGAAATCCAACTCAGTAAGTAAATGAATTTATTTAGTTCCCTGGTTTCTTGAAAATCCCATAGTTCTTCCATTTCTGTTGTATTCAACTGTATCTTTTTTTCATTTTTTTGACATACCTTGGAGGAAAAAGGAACGAATAGAAAAAGTATTTTGCATAAAAAATTCACTCCATACATATCCCAAATCCCTTAAAGAGAAAAGAGAGGTGCCAGAAGTAATATGATAAACTTGTAGTTGGATCTCAATCACATTTCTGTGTTCTGGACTCACATTTTCATCATAATCATCATAATTATAGGCATGATAAAGCCGGGAATGAGCAGTTTCTCACTGAAATTTGCAAATGGGTCTTTCATGAAAGAGGTCACCTCAAGGTTCCATCTTATGCTTGATTGTAGAAAAGCTTGTTTCCATATTTCTTGGCACATTTGCACTATAGCAAATTACCAACCAGTCATGTGAATCATACATATTTTCACTTCTAGGCCATAAATGTTACACATCATAGAGTTGGTCAGGCAGATGAACCTTCCATGTACAGGATCAACGATGACCTGGTAATTCAATACACACATAGTATATTTATATGCATTTTAATTTGCAAAAAATGTGTGTAGATTTTAGTAAACTCACCAGTGATGCTTAACTATGGCTGGAAGGAATACTCTGTTGAGATTTTTGAGTGGTCGGGAACAAGCTGGGAGCCATATACAGCAGATGATGTCCAAGTCCAGTTTTACATGATGAGTCCCTACATTTTGAAAACCTTGTCAACTAATCAACAGGTTATATTATTTTCTTCAGAGCTCAAAAGTTGGATGTACTACTTTTTATCTGATTTGTCAAGTGGGTCTAATTAATTTTCATTTAAATTCACTTTTTCCAGGGTGTCTACTATACTTCCTTCAAGGTCCCAGATGTTTATGGAGTATTCCAGTTTAAAGTTGAATATCAAAGACCGGGATACACAAGCTTAAGCCTTTCCAAACAGGTCCGTTATCCCTTCTCTAGTACTGCTCACTTTTTGCAGATTAGTTACTGCGTAGTATTTAGCTATGGGCTTTTGAGAATTTATGTGAAAAGCTTTAAAACCAGGTGAGGCGTCACCTTCACATGGCACATCGACTAATTCTTTAGGAGGCTCCTTAACAGCAATATGGCGACCTATATCTAATAGTTTTTAAATCTCTACACAAGTTATTACGTAGTATAAATATAAAAAGTATATTAAATCAATAATTGAAGATACTCTCTCTGTCTCAAAATAAACTTTACATTTTCTTTTTTAGTCCACCCCAAAATAAACTTTATACTTATCCAATTTTCTTTTAGGAAATGAACATTTCGCTCATTACATTTCCCTCTCTTCTAAACGAATTTCAACCGCTCAATTTTCATTTTTAACATTTTTCTTAAACTCCGTGAACTCAAATTGTCAAGTTATTTTTGAGACGAAGGTTGTAATATATATTTAATTAAACTAATCTAATTTAGTAAATTAACGCTAAAAATAAAACCCATCAAACCAATCTTTAAAAAGCAATTGGGTATAGGATTAGTCAATTAGGATTAATCATCTTCATAGTATGATCCTATGACAATAAAATCAAGTAATGAACTAATGATGGTAGAATAAACATAACTAACTAAGTAAAGACTACAGAAATGAGGCATGTCTATAACAACCTATCATTGTCTTGTGATATTTTGGGCAAAAATATCATAAGATCAATGATTTTGACTTGACAAAAATATGCTTAATATCAGTAAAATACTTACACAGACCCCGACATGTTGCAACTGCTACAGCTTACTCCCCCCCC